AGAAAAGCTGCTTTGTCTTTAACAGACCTTGCTGAACAAGAGAAATGGAAATAGCTAGTGGGGTTTTTTGGTCTGTATAGGGGAAAAAAAAACTAGTGAAATTCCTACTGCTTGATTGTGGGTTTTGTTGTTTGGTTGGTTTGGATTTTTTTGTAAAATACAGAAGTCCTTAGTAGGTGAGAGACTTTTAAACAAATTTATCTACTGGATTATAAAAATCCAGATCTCTCTTCACCATGAAGAAACAGAAAAGTTGCAAAAATACCAAAGCTTCAAAACCAGGCTTGAAATGATCTCTGCTTTTCCTGATCTTCTCTGTCTCTACAAATTCTGTTTGTTCTCGTGTGTTACTCGCACCTTGAAATCCACAGTGGCTGCCTCAAACCTCAGCTAGCCTCATGCTCCTGAACAGAAGGGTTTCCACTGGAAACGTTATTCACACACAGTTTGCTGAAGATGCAATAGATGAGCTCCTCCCCGTGACAGTAAGCTAGCGGCTCTCTAGATGACAAAACTTGAGCACGTTGATATTTCCACTTCTATGTGCCTGTAGCCAGCACGGCCACGCTGGGTTTGGGTTTTTGTCTTACCCTTGATCAAAAACGAGCAATGCTTCGTCGTATCTTTTCTGTGTATGTTGCTTACGGAAGGTCAAGTGGTGGATTATTTGAGATGCGTGAATCACAGGAGGCTGGCAGGCTTCAAAAGGTCCTTCTCACCTGTGCCCACGGTGATGTGCGATTGCTCCCCGGCCATGGAAGAGCCCATCCCACATCCAACTCTTTCTTTCCCGTTTAAAGGCTCTTTATTTTTTCCCCCCTCTCCAGGGGAGTTTCACAGCATTGCCGAGGAATTACTTGATTTTCTTTACTTCTGTGTTTCTTGGTTATCTCCTGTTGCGGCGTGTGAGATCCGGTTAAGTTTGCTCTTTTCTCACGAGTTCCTTTTTACAGAAATGGTGCTGAAATTTTCTTCCTTAGCTTTTATGCCTTGCCTCTAGCAAAGACCTCATCCACTGCTTTGACCCTTGTTAGATGTTGCTTTAGAGCCCAGCTCCACTTCTCAGCTACTGGAATCCAAAGCTTGGATAGCAGCAGAGCACTAGGTCCATTTCCAAAACCTAATGGAAAACTGTCCGCAGCCTGTATGTATTTGCCATCCGTTATCTTCTGCCCAAGTTTATTTTAAGACTAGCCTAAGGTAGGGGTTGCTTTTTGTAGCCACCTCTGTAGTACGCCTCCCAACGACAAGAACAGAAATCAAAAGTAGATTTTAAACTGTGAAATCCGCTGATGCTAGTTGTGGTTGGATTTTTTTTTCTTATTCTGTACTGAATTGTCAGGAATAATGTGCCACAGGGTGACCCTTCCAGTCATGTCCTGAGAAAAAAAGTTAAAATGAATACTGGGACAGCTTTTGCGAGAATGGTACAAGGCAACAGAACTCTTTCCAGTTACCCTAAAAGTTGTTTACACCTCTGTGCTGTCGGGCTCTTTTTTTGGAGCCTGCAGCTTAGGTGAAAGCTGATGCTGTTGTCAACGAGCGAGCAGCTAAACTGTCTCTGCGTTGGTATTTGGCACTGGCTGCTGATACACGTGCTTGGAACGATCTGTTCTCCAGCAGTGCTGTCAAGTACTTCTGTCACACAACGTGCCGCGTTGCTATTTCTGGTGTAAGGAAACTCATCAAGTTTTTGAGTATGTTTGGAAGAACAGTATAAAAATGGAGGAAAATACTGAATTTATATTTTTCTGGCTTTAGTTGGAGCGTTCTTATGTCCTGCATTAAATCAGTATTTGAATGCGAATGTTTGTTTCAAGCC